CCCCCGCCAGCGGCAAATCGTCTTTTATCTGCCAAAAGCGTTCCCTTTCCCGGTTGGGAGGAGAAATGTTCGGCCAAGAAGCACATCTCTGCTCCTTACCGCGCCCCTGCCCACACTTACAAGTTCTGGCTGACTTTAGTTTTGTTTTTTAAAGATTCTAATTTTGTTTTTTGTTTTTTTTGTTACGAATAAAAATAAACAAATGAAAAAGAAAGTGGCAATATTTTTTTCCGTAAGCTTTTCCTAGGAAAAAGCGTGGTTTGTAACAAAGTTGTACAGTTCTGAAGTTTGAGATACGAGAAGTACTGTGTGAAACGCTGTAAATGGGGCAGAGATTATTTTATGTACAGTCTGACGCGGGGGGAATCTTTTAATTCTGGTTGATTCTTAGGAAGAATTTGGTTCTTCACTGTCAGGGTTTGGAATTTCATGGTTTCATTATTATTTTTTTTTTTTTTCTCCTTGTATAGATTGCTGCATTAATTGAATAAAAGCAGAAAGCATCCCTCTGCCTGCCTGTGTGGTGGTGCCGGCGGCTGGGATGTCTGCCTTGCTTCCCCGCCGGCAGAAACGAGGTTGCGGGGAGCTGGGAACCGCTGCTAAATAAAGGGAGTCTCCGGCTCCCCGGGGATGGAGCGGCCAAACGCGGCGTCTGTCCCTCCTACGCTGCCCTAGAAAGCAGGGATGGGCCTCGCTGCCCTCCTCTTCCTCCTGCTCGCCATCGCTGGGGAGCAAACGTGGACGCTCCGGCTTCCGCCCTGCTCCACCGCCTAGGCTTGTCACTGCTGGTGGGGCAGGGGGGGCTGCACCCCATGCTTCGGCCTCACGTGGAGCCCCTTGCTCTGCGCCTTCCTCCTGTGAAAAAGGGAGATGGCGGCGGGTGGGGGGTCCGGCCTTGCTCTGCGCCTTCCTCCTGTGAAAAAGGGAGATGGCGGTGGGTGGGTGTGCAGTGGCGTGGGGATGGCTGATGGGGTCTGGCGGCCTCGCACGGTGTCTTTCCTCCTCTTCCTCTGCGGTGAGCTCCTGCCTGGTCTGGTGACGTCGTCTTCATCACCCGTCCTCGTGCCTTAGGGCTTCCCTCCGTCCATCCTGGAACCCATCGCTGGGTCACCGGGGCCATGGCCCCCGCTCACCCC